TGTCCACACATTATTGCTCATCCAAAGTACATGTTTTGACTTTTCGCACAAAATCAGCACATTTATTTGTATTAGGTATTTCTTATTTACAGTTTTGTCTATGGAGTGGGTGTTTTTTACTTTTATAGCTAGATTTTTATTTTATATCTAATGAAGACTTGAAAGAGCAATAATGTCATCCAAACGAAATTAAACAGATTGTTCTGTAGCAAATAAGAAAAGAAAAGTGTTATTTTTGGAATGTAAACTTAATGTAATTATAGATTTTGAATCAAAAATTAAATTCTGTGAACTATCAAAGAAGTTTGATCTATCAAAATCAACGGCCAAAACAATTATAAAGGTCAAGGAAAAAATTCTTGAAGCTGTGAAAAGTGCCCAATCTTTAAATTCGACCATGGTTAAAATTATCGTGTGATAATGAGGTAAATGTGAAGAATTGTCGTATTGATCAGAATACAGTGTGTTCCTAAGCTAAGCTAATTTTTCAGAGATTGAAAGAGGATGCTGGAGAAATCACTAAGGATGAACAGTTTAAAACTAGTAACGGATTGTTCAGCCGATTCAAAAGTCGCTGTAATAGGCATAGCATTGCAAAAGCGGAGAAGCGGTAAGTGATGATAAAGTGCATCTTATTATCCACAGAACTTAAAAGCCATAATAGATGAAACCAAACAAATCAGATTCAATGTAGATGAGACTGGCTTATTTTGAAAAAAGAAGCCTAAGAGAACTTTGATCGCACATGATGAGAAAACCTTTCCAGATTTTAAGGCTGCCAAAGATCAATTGATAGTGATGGTGGGGTCAAATGCAGCTGGTGATTGCAAGTTAACACCACTCTTAGTTTATCGCTCAGAAAATCCAAGAGCACTAAAAAATAAATATAAATCTGGCTTGCCTGTAATTTGGACATCTAATTGTAAAGCTTGGGTGACAGCTTTCCTTTTTGAGGATTGGTTTGGTCATCATTTCATACCTGATGTGATAGCTAATTATTGAAAACGCTCTGAAAGTTGAATTTTCGCCACCTAATACTACCAGTTTACTTTAGCTGTTGGATCAGGGAGTCATTAAAATATTCAAGGCTTATTACACCAGACGATCATTTGCACATCTCCATGAAATTATAAGAAAAAACTAAAAGATTTCTGTTAAAGACTTTTGGAAACAATTCAACTTGTTAGATGCAGTGACAATCATTGGACAATCTTGGAATGGAGTTTCACAAAAAATTTTGAATGGAGTCTGGAAAAAACTATGTCCTTTTTTTCATCACTGACACTGCAATGGAATTGATGCAAGATCATGATGAAGTTAGTAATGTTATTAAAGAAGTTGTTTATATAGCCAGCAAATAAATTTAGAAGTTGATAGTGATTTCAGGTGATCCACCTACTAAAATCAATTCTGAGTATTTCATCTACAGGTATCAATCTTTGTACTTCCTATATATGGTAAAGATTGAAATTATTCTCCAATAGTCTTGAAGTCTTCACCAAACAGAGGTATGAGGAATTTGCAAAGCTAATTCATCAGGAATTAACTTTTGGAAGGAAGGAAATTGACTTGTCTTCTGGAATAATCATATACCTTTACAATGGTTACATAACTTGGTATTCTTCATTGAGGAAACTGCATTTCATACTCTCTTTTACCAGTTATGCCATTACCATCACAAAAACTGTACATGTAAATAATATATGAAAACACAAAGAAATTATTCAATGTGATAAAAATTAAAGAATATTTAGTATTTTTGACAGTAGAGAATATTTAAAACAAATGACAATCAATGTATATATTCAAAGTGATCCTGTTATTGTCACTGTACACTAAGTTAATAAAATTGGAAATATTAAGGCATATTCATTTTATTTTTGCAGAACAAATTAAAAATTTTTCAACAATCTCTCCAATGTAGTAGAATGAACTTGGTATTGTGGAGACCATACAATAGATGCATATTCCACTTTAGATATGACCAAAGCATGAGTTCTATTCTGTAACTGATCTTAAAGTCCAAACAGATAGACTAAGACAGTTGCAAATGATAAAGTCTTAAGATTTTAATGAATTTATATTATTTATATGTTGTACAAATAACAACTGTTCATGAAATGTGACTCAGAAGTCTTTTATTATTTTGCCATAAGACAATCTATTATCATTAATTGTGTAAGTACCATATTTTTTATTACCTCTATAAAATCTTATATAGCAGCATTTAGCAACATTTAAATGCAAATATTATTCACATCTATAAGTTTTAAATAATTTCAAATCATCTGCAAACATCAGGAAATCGCAATTTCTAAAACATTCTGATATATTGTTCACAAATATATTAAATTACAAAATTAAATTATATCTGAATCAAAACCACCTATTCTCACTTATTGTTGTATGTGGTCTCTTAATGACTGACTTAGGATTGATGACTAAAGCCAAAGGCATTTAATGTTCTAAGATTTTATGATCTACTCTGTCAAATGCATTGGAGAAGTCAGTATAAATAGTATCCATCTGACTTTTATTCTCCAACATGTCTAATATTTTTTGTTCAAATAGTGCTAAATTTGTTACTGTTGGTTTATTCTGAAATCCATGTTAATGGTGTATTAGGCATTCTATGCAATAAAATTTTAATTGATTGTGCAGTAGTCTATTGAAAACTTTTGGTATAGAGGATTGTTTGTCTTGTTACCTGATTTTAAAATTGGGCAGATATAAGAATGCTTCCATAAAGTTGGGAAAACTGATGTCTTTCATAACAACACTAAAATAAGAGGTAAAGACTTAGTTAGTGAATAAATACAGTTCTTTAGAAAATAATCAGGAATACCATCTGGGCCACTGCTTATTGGGTAAGGATCAAATGTTGTTGAAAATGTATGCATGACTTTTCTCATGGGCATGATGATGAAATGGTGTATGGTGTTGAATTTTTGACAGTTAAAGAGTAAGACAAACAAAGATGACCTTAAAAATGAATACATTTCAACTTAGAGCAAGCTGCACTTCCTCCGGCTGATTCCAACATTAAAGAGCATATGTAAGATGGTTCAAAACTCAAATAATAATAAGCATTGTTGAGTGTCCAGTTCTTAGAAGCAATAGAAGAGGAAGACCAAACAAGATAAGGTGGGAGATAATTAGACAAGGCATTTCTGTGAGATAAACATTGTATCTATTATCTGATATAGAAAAATATGAAGCAATATAAATATGCAAATCTATCCTGCTAATTGCTAAATAGCTAACAACAGGAACACCTGTAGGAAGAAGAAGCAGAGGCTGACCACAAATTAGGTGGTTAGATGGAGTTGAGACCAACCTGGGGATACTTAAGATTAGAGGATGGCACATCGCCAGAAAATAAGCAGGATGGAGATGAACCTTAGAGCAGGCCAGGATACACAGAGGATGGTGGAGAAAAATAGGATGATGATGATGATAAAATATGTCCTGCATGGAGATGCAGGCAAAGAGACTGATGAGCATCCTACATATAACAGATGTACCTACAAAAGATAAAACCAAACTTATGCAAAAGATACTATATGTATACAATTATGTTAAAGAAATAAAAAAATAGGTTTTTATAATATTTAAAACCACTTGAAGTAACACAAAAGAGTTTTTATCTAGACCTGTCCTAATAGGTTTTATTAAACTTAGTTATAGTTTTAAGTAAACACAGATGTGGCAGGTATAGACACAATATGGTTTTTATTGTTGTAATTTTTTCTTTATATTCTAACATCAGTATTTTATTTATAAGCAGGTGTACCCTTTTTTAAATTACAAACTGTCAGAACACTCAAAATATCACAATTATGCACTAAAAATTGTCACAAATAAAATAAGATTATTTAAATTAAAAATAAGGATATAATATAGACTTGGTGATAACTGACTTGGTGATCTAGAACAAGATTGGCTTTTTCTAGCCCCATTTTACTCCATTATATGAGACTTCATTAGTAATACTGTTGATAAGTTTAGTTCTGAAAAACCCAAAATGATCTATGATCACTAGTGTTGTTATGTTCTGTCTGTCTAATATCCTTATTATAGCATTCATAATAGTTTTTTAAAAACAGCTCTTTTCCAGTATTATTAAAAATAATCCATATTATTATATAAACCTTAAATTTACATAGATTACTTATATTACGATAATGATTTAGTTCTGGAAAGTACCAGATAGATAATTTACAAATTTGTTAAATTTAATGAAAAAAGACTTTTTCTCTTTTTACTGAAGTAGTCATTAAATACTCTATGTTGAATATTCCATGCAATGTAGATCTGAGATATTTTACATCCAGTGGTTTCAATATTATATCATATTAATTTAATTCAATACCTATTTATTGGTCTAAAAGTTAAGTCAAACCAATTTATTCACATTCACATGGTATTTTATAAATGCAATGTTTGCTTTAAAGAGGATTTTTCTAGATTGAATTACACCATGCATACTACTGGTAAGTACATGTGACAATCCTCAATAATTACCAAAAATTTCTTTATTCATAAATTATTGAAAACATCCCAATAGAATTAAATTCGCACAGAAACTATGAATCATTACCAAAAATGTTGCATTTATCAAAATTATGTAAAATCACAAATCTCTCATTAAATAATTTCTCAAGTTACACAATATTAAAAATTGATACTATGTTTATTATTGACTAATAAATATCCATTGAATATTATCAATTAAAAAAATATCGCCTAAACAGTATATAAACATCCTTAAGGTGCAATAAAATGATTGGAAGTATTTCCCATGAGTGTAAATTCTATAGCCATATTGAAAATTTAGGTCAAATTTGCACATACAATATTAAGTAAATCAATTAGCGAATTAATAATAAAAAGGGGTAATTTACATTTTAATTCAATCAATACAACTAATTAATTATTAATAAACAGGAATAAAAACATAATAACTTTGTTTTCTGTCATGAAAAGTTCAATAAACTTACTATTATAACTGATGCCTTTCTAAGATCCCTGTTTTCCTCTTGGAGCGCTTTCACTCGTAACTTATAAGTTTCTAACTCTACCTTCAGCACCCGGTTTTGTTGCTGAAGACTTTCGATGCGCTTCTGAAGTTGCTCCCTAGTTATGGGACTGGGTGGCATCATGATGGGTCCACCATCAATGCTACTGGAATCTGATTCACTAGCAGAATCTGCCATTCTTTTATTAATGTAAAAAAGTTTGAGCTCTTTTCGTTATCGAATAGTGAAGAAAGTTTAGAACATACTAACAATTTAAGAAAAAATATATCGAAAACCTTAACAATACCGTATGAAAATCTACGATAGGAATGAATAAAAAAATTTAATAGATTTCGAAAAATAACGATCGAATCAGCACTAACGTCTTATAACTATTAAAAAATATCAAAAATATGAATAATAACAAGCACCACCAATTTTATAAGGAAATTACACTAACTTGATAGAACTTCAAATTCTGGATAAAGTTGACAAAGTGACATTTTTGACAGTTAGTCTTATCTTGTGTTCAATAACTACTCTGCTTTGTTCTCGTCTTTAGCTTGCGGTGTAGCGGTAATATTTTTCTAATACTTGTAAATTTAAAAACAATAATTTTTTCAATCTTATAGGCTATTTCCGCCTAAATATTATTCGTTTTAATATATTTTTTTTATGCAATACCAAAAAAGTTCAAGGAGTAATTCGTTCTTTATCTCACTTATGTAATTGACGCATTACATGTAATTTAGTATAGTAAATTAAGAGGTTTGCTCAATTTTATTGATTTTATATCTTAAAACTCAAATCTGCTTTTTTAATTTCTGGGTAAAATTTGTATAAATTGCCTAAAAATCCTATCTCATATATCCCTATACAAGATTGGGGAAAGATATACGGACGTCAAGTGTCAACTAAGAACTGAAAATAAAAACAAAGTCAAACTCCCCAGCTTTTGTGATGGCTGCAATCCATTTTCGTTAATCCATTGACCCCATTGAGCTAAACAGTATATAATTTCTGGCTCAGGTGTTTAATATTTTTGAGTAAAATATCAATGAAGGCTATAATATGGATACGCGATGAAGATTTTATTATATTGGTAAGTATTCTAAAAATATGCAATATGCAGAATTTTCTACTTAGTGATTATAATAGTTCTGTGTCAAATTTATTCAATAACTTTATAGGAATATCAGTTCGTCCTCGTAAGTTTTAACCACGTGAATTAATGTTATGAGAATAAATTGTTTAATAATGTGAAATTCTTATCATTGATTTTGTTGTACAGATCAATACACTTGGCTGATATTAGTACTACTCTTCTGAACTCCATTGATTATACTTACACATCATAGTAGAGACAAAAATGGATTCATCCACCACAATATGTCCTGTTTGCACTCTGTTTCTGAGACCAGGCATAACTTTGAAGCAACATTTGACTTCTCATCCCAAACAGAAAGTCATAGAGGCATTGGTGAAGCTAGCAAGTGTAGAAGAACAGCCAAAAATACAAAATCCTCCAGTTCCAAGTTCACCACAGCAAACACATCCAGGTACTAGTCAGGTAAGTGAATATACATTTGTTGCTTATAAATCTGATAAATTAGTTTGTTTACAATTTTTTTTCAAAATAAGCTTGTTACATTTACTGCTTAATAAAAATAGAATAAACTGTCAATAGCTTAAATTTACAAAGTAGTATACTCAGCTGCAGTAGAAGCAGCAGTATTGTTAATACTGTTATATTTTCTATAAAATCTTACCAAGATTCCTACAGCTTCCTATATTTGAATTTTTATATTTCCTGAAAATTATATTCAAATGTAATTATTTGAAGTTTGAATTTCTTTCTCTGAAATCATTTTTAAAATACAAATATTTGACAAATTAAACAAATTATTTTGTTTCTTGTTACTTGGATATAAAATTCTTCTAATAGACAATTTTATTTAATACAGATATTACATACATTTCTAAGTCTTTAAAATAGTATTATTAGTAATTTTGAGGATAGTTCATTTGATTACCTTAATTGCAATAGTAATACAACAATCCCTGTCAGAAAAATATTGGTAGCATGTGATTGATTTTTAACAATATCAGATACTTAATCCATTCTTGTTAGCAATTCCATGATAAATCAAGAGTAAAAAATCAGAATATTGTGCAGTCATAGTAACATTTAGTTTACTCTCAATATCTACAAAAAACTCTAATATTTTTACTTCTAAATTATCACCACTTCATGTCAAAATTTCTTGACAAATACTCAGAAGATTTGTCTATAAGATTCATCAATATGTTATGAAAATTTTAAACTTCTATGGACTTATATACTTGTTATATTTATGAAGAATGAAAATGGGTCAAATTATAGTGACTTTGGAACCCAACACTGACAATACCACATCCAGAAATTATAATATAGAATATATATAGAACCTCACAACACCAATTTGGATTTAGGAAAAAATATTTGACCATCTATCTGCTTAATATATTAACACCTTCGCTGTGCCACCAGTTGATAATGACTGGTAACTATGTTTGCAGAAATTACCGCTAAAAATAAATACATGTATTTCCATCTGGTGAGTAACCTACAAACAAAACGCGTTGGTGAAAACTAACATTATAGGTAATATTATTATCTGAAAGAGATCTGAGGGATAATTTAGTACCAGTTGTATTCATCTGGTAATGCATACAAGTTATTTATTTTTAAATTGTTAAATTCCCAGATGAATTTATCTGGCAGTATAAGTAATTTCATTTGTAATTACCAGTTTAGTTTAGTTATCTCGGTTGAGTCATAATAGTGTTTAAAATGTTTGTATAAGAATTGAGTAAAATGAGTATCACTGTTAAATTAGTAAATTTGGAGTTGCGCAAAATGCAACTACAAGTGGTAGTTGTGTAGACCCCAATCAGAAATTGGACCCCCACCAAGAAATAATTATAAATACTTTAAGAGAACCAGAGGAAGAACCATTTAGCGCACAATTTGAATTGTGATTCTAATTAAGATCCTTAGAATTTTCAACTAATTCAGATAATGACGAATATAAAATCAGTTTCGAGAAAACAAACCCGAAGTACCTAGTGCCAAAAAAAGGCGAAATTGTATGGAATGTTACAAGAAGCTGAGGGAAACAATGAAAAGTAAAGAAACTGATAAAAAGGTCATTAAAGTTACTACACAATGCACAAATTTTAGAACTTATTCTTACTAATAATTAGCATTTTTAATTTTTGTAATAATAATATGTATTTCTCAATAAAAGTTTTAGTTTTATTTTACTTGAAAATATGCACTTCTTAAAAATTTCAGTTTTTGCTTTACCAAAAGGAATAGTGTGGTACTGATACAGTTTAAAGCAAGTTTGTATATTCCTTGTATGTATAAAATTATTACTATGCATAAATCTCTAAAAATTTAGAGATAGATCACTCTCACATTTCGAACTACAAGTCTATTGTGACTGGTGTATCTAAATGCAGAATTCTATAGTACCAGTCAATTACAAATGGTAAGCATACAACATAATAATTGAATTTTTTGTAAATGCAGCGAAGGTGTTAACAAGAAATAGTCAGAAAAATATCTAAACTTAAGATTAAGGGCAACTATTTTAGGCCAAATATTTCTTTATGTTTTATGTTCTCTTTCATACTTAATCCAAAGTTTCCTAGATTGTTTCACAATTCAGTTGACAGCGATCAATTGATTTCCCAAGGCTCCTTTGGTCTTTCTTATGCAGTTTACAGATAATGTCATTTACAATTTGCAGATGACATAGCAACTTTTGCCTTTGATAAGAACTACAAGAAAGGTGGCTCTCTCCTAGTCAATGTTTGATAAAATAAACCAATTCTTAGAAAAATGGAGAATCCTAATTCCTGCAAAACTTAATATCTCTTATTTAATTATTACTATGTCTGGTCTGCTTTGTTATATGGATGTGAAACCTGGACAACAAAAATAAAAAATCTTAATAAATCAGGTACATTTGAGTTATGGTGAACACACATAACGGACCTGTGCTATAGAGTCCACGCACAAAGAATGAGAATTGATCAAAATCATCAAAATGAGAAGGTCCAATACTTGGGCCATATAAATAATGAGAGACCTAAATATTGCTTATTCTGGTTGATCATTCAGGACAAAATAGGAATAAAATGCTGGGTCGGAAGAAAACCAATGTCTTGGCAGCAAACATTAGACAATGGACAGGTTGAATAGTCAATGAATTGTTTCATCTAGCTGCTGACTGGAAACATTTCATCAGCTTGATAATAAAATGGTGGCCATTACTTGAAAACAAGCATGCACGCAAAGAAAGAAGAAAGAGGTATACATGCTACTTAAGTATAGAAAAATTTGCAGCTATATTCATTGCTCAACTTGTCTGTGCCAGCCATAAGTATAGAAAAATTTGCAGCTATATTCATTGCTCAACTTGTCTGTGCCAGCCTCCAAGGTTCCAATGTTTTTATGAGGTCAGTGATTTATGATTTTCATTTATTTAAAAAATTGATCAAAGAATTTGTATTAAATTTATCGTAAAAAATTAAATAAAGTGTAACAAAAAAAAGACCCGCTTTGTGGACCCGAAAACAACTCATGGTTTGTACATCATGATCATGCACCACCTTACACTTCATTGCTTGTTTGTGAATTTTTGGCCAAAAACAATACTGTAATGATGCCCCAACCTCTATATTCGCTAGACATGGGCTCCATGTAACTTTTTTCTATTTTCTATTTCTGTAGGTTTAAGAATCATTATGACCTCTACTTTATATATCTTGGCTTTCCATATCTTATTAATCTGAAGCAGCTAAATGAGGCATTTATAAGGTATGTTATATTTACTATGCCTTTTCTAGAGAGTTGGTTTAAGGTTTTCCCAGTAATTAAATCACACCCAGGTGCTTTCCTGGAATTGATGTTTGCTTTAATTTTGTTGGACACTTCTTTTGGATTGACTAGTTTAATTTCACCTTCTTCCTGTGGCACGTTTTACCACTCAAGTGTGTTATCACCTTCATTGGGCTGAAATGTTTCCTCGAAATATTCAACAAGTTTATTAGCCTTCTTCAAATTGCTTTTTGACCAGTTTTCATTTGTATTTCTTAATGGAGGATTTTTCAAGATCGCTCATTTTAATTTCTAAATGGTTCTCTAGCTGGAATAGTCAACAATACGATTTTAAAACATTACAGTTTATAATTTATAATGAACTCAAGGCCAAATGTGACAATTATACCTGGAACCAAAATCGTTTCATTCTCACATGACAGATATTGACTCTCATAGTTTTATTGACTACAAAATAGGTGACTAACAAGATAAAAATGGGGGAGTCAGCAATCGCTACTATTAAAACTATCTCAGTTTTTAATTCACAGCAAAATATAAACTTAATATCACTGCACTTATGTAACATAACATAGGAATTTATTAAAGTAGAGCACTAAAAACAGTGATTCAAAAGGCAAGCTCACAATTGTGTGGTCGGCAGATAGAAGCAGACAAGGATTTGAAAGTTAAACTTAAAATTAATTAACTGAAGTTGAAATTTTGAGCATGACAAAATGATTTGATATGAAACTACATGTTTAACACTTTGAGTTGTCTTTTATTTCAGCTATAAATAATTTTTTTAATTTAAAAATAATACACTAATACACGAAACAATCTCATAAACTATAATATACCAATACATAGACTAACAGCATCTGATAAAACCACAGAATATGCCTGTATTAAATTCTTTAATAAACTGCCTTACAACATCAAAATAGAAACTGACGTAAATAAATATAGAAAGTCTGTTCAACAATTGCTCATACACCTTGAACCATACAAAGTGGAAGAATACCTTCAAGCTGACCTGTAGGCAGACTAAGGGCTCTTACCTGAATCTAAATGTCACTGTTATTATCATTATGTTTCAATATTACTTTTATGTTGCTACAGCAACATAAAAGTAATATTAAAACAGTGTAGGTTGTTACAGCAACCATTATAAATTGTAACTGACACCATTCTCTCTACTGGCAATTTATATTTGTATGTAACTTGTGAATCCTGAGAATAAAGCTTTTTTCTATTCTATTCTATTCTAAAGTATTTTCAAAAATTGACTTGTCTGTTTCTGACTGCCGACACCACAATTTAGAAGTTATGAATTATGATATATGATAATTATGAAATAATCATATAATCATAAACCATCATGACGAAGTTGCGATGAAACCAATTTGAAATTGATAGTGGATAGATTGATATTAAAAGTACATATGATAAAGAATAAAAATAAATGACGAAATCAAGAAATAGAAAATCTTGTGGGGAATAACGATGGTATGCATAATAAATGGCTAGAAACAAAGAATGTCGTGAAGAACTAAGCAATGAAAGAAAAAAAAGGGTTAATAAAGGCAAGAATGAGATGTAATAAAGCCTGCGATATATATAATAACATAGATATTTTTTTTAAGAAGTAAAGAAGGTGGGAAGATGGTTAGAGATAGTAGAACAGATACAGTAGATCTGCTGGATCTTTGTATATTGTCATCATTCGTATCATAGGAAATAAACCAAAACATGTGGTTATCAAGTGCAGTGTGGTTTATTATTACATCTTGGACCTCCACTAGATGGTTGTAGATGGTTTTTGTTTTTGTCAATTCTTTTAAATAAGTTTTTCTCTTTTCCAAGAATAATTTCAAGTAATAAATAATAATTTTTTACTTGATGGTTTTAATATTCTATTCCTGCGATTTGTGTACTAGATTAGTATAAAAACCATTTTTTTTTATTTTTCTTATTTTTTAAATAATTAAACTGTATTTATAAATCATTTCAGTTAAAAAATGTCCATTTTTTATAATATATATTTTATTTCGACAGTTTTATTCTGAAGTAGTAAGTTTGTTATTGAGCTCAGCATTAGCCATAAAAAATTAATATAATAAAGAGGTATTTCTAAGGAATGGCCACTTAACAATGATTTATTACTATCTCTCTCAATACAAAATAACACAAAGTTTGGCTGAATAAAAATGCTAATTAAATCAATTAATTTTACAGGCAAACTCATCAATATTGAATCAATCATGGAATCAGCCAACGCCAGTGCAATTGGGCCCTCCCCCAAATGTAACTCCTGTACATGGAAATCATGTTTTCATTTATCAACAAAGTATGAGTACAACTTCTCCCCAGGGAAATGTGCTACAAGTAAATCCTCTATCCCAGCAGTATCTGTATCATCCTCCAATTTATAACCCTCAAATGATGCCATACGTGTATCAACAACAGCAGGTTATTTTGTCAAGTAATTCTTTGCATCCTCCCCAAATGAGGGCACTACCATTTGAATTACCCAATGTACCTCCACCTCCAGAGGGGATTATTGTGGAGGATGACGACGAAAACAAGAAAGAAGAAGATAGTGAGGTTAATAAGGAAAGTATAGATTTAACATCAAAAGAAGAAACGAGAGTCGAGGAGGAAGAAGAAAATGTTCAACTTGAACCATCCAAGAAAAATGCAGTAAGTGAGGTGAAAACTGTGGAAGATTTTGAAAGTGAACAAGCAGAATTAAATGATATACCTCCTGACGAATATGTAGATAGTGCTGGTGAAGAAGATTGTGCTCCAGAAGAGGAGAATATTGAATCAAAAGATTTTGTTGATTCCCCACATTCACACCATTCAGAATGGAAGACTGATTCAGAACTTAGTAAAGCATGTCAAACTCAAAATGCGCCTAGCAATTCGCCATTACCCCTGATCGAACCTCAAGAGCCAGTACCTGAGCATAGACGTAATTTTGTAGAAATGGGCCAGACAGAATATTTCTATTTGAATCCCCAAAATAATCACTATCAAGAAAACTTCCATACCCCAACTACAAGCAATGTATCAGTGGCCTACACAACACACAAGGAACCTGAAAATTATGAACAATCGGAACCTATTTACACTTCTGCTAATATATTGCACGGAAATGATCACATGGATTTTGTTAATTTGGATGATATTGTTATCATAGGCGATTTTACGACAAATCCAGTGGCTTCACATGTGGAAAATTTCGAAAATCCGATTCACGATAGACCTACGACTCTAATGACTATCGGGGAAATACAAGAACAACCAAAGGTTGACTACGAAAGTCATCGAAAAGTCGATGATTATGAACATCCCAAAATCGATTATGAACATCCAAAAATCGATTATGAACATCACAAAATTGATTACACAGAACATACAAAAATTGATTATGACCATCCAATAAACGATTACGAACATCCAAAAATCGATTATGCAGAACATCGAGACTTGGAAGAGAGCATGTCCCGTGGAAGTTCTCATGTTAACATAAGATCAGACGAAAGAATGCCTGCAAGAGGTGAGCTTTCTGGACAGGAGAGTTTAGGGGGGAGCAGTGATATCACTTGGAATAGACTCCAATATCAAGAATGTAACTCAAGAATGTCTCATCCTTATGAAATGATAGGAAGGGAGTCTTGGGATGCTTCCGATAGTGAAAGTTTTGATACGCCATCGTTGAAAAGGCAAAACGTCACTCAGGTATCTTGTGAACCAAATGATTATGATAATGATGTACCTACAATAATTAGTTACACAGGTCCACCTCTTAATTTTAAATGTTCTACATGTGGGGAAGATTTCGCAACTTCTAAGGATAGGAAGGAACATGAAATGGAAAAACATCCAGAAAAATCTAAGAGAAACGTAATAGGAAGTGAAATAGGGAAAAAGACTGTCAGAAAATTAGTTATCAAAGCCAAAACCACGAAGACTAAAAGTGAACCTAATTTTGATAACGTATTTACAAACAAATTAAAATTAGAGAATCCCGTTGAGTTGAAAAGTGATGCAATAGTTGTAGAAGCTTCTGTTAAAGTTGATGATCCCATAGAAATAACAGATATCAAAATGATATGCCCTCTGTGCGATTGCGTTTTGGATAGTGCAAAAAGTCTCAAGAAACACAGATTAGAAGTCCACAAACAAAGTAACTTGACTAGGCACAAATGCCTGACTTGTGGAGATATCTTCCAAAATGAATACAAATACACGGAACACTTGAAAATTCATCCGCTAGAGTGTAGACTGTGCGGCAAACTGTTCTACAGGAAGCAGAATATTAAGTTGCACATGAAGCGACATCTGGGGTTGAAGCCTTACAAATGTGACATTTGCGAAAAATCATTTATTACAAGACAGAAACATGACGAACATAAAAATATTCATACAGGTAAGTAAATACAATTAAATCATGCGTGTAGTTACCTTTTCTGATTTACTTGTCGCGGGGAATCACTCCGCACTGATTCTTATTGGTTTTACAATTGGTTACATGACTTGTCTTTCTCTCTTTATGGGTATTTCCAACATGTTCTATTACCTTTCAAAATCTTGTGGCTGCATAATCAATTTGAGCGTAGGCAGCAAATCTGTATATACATATACAGGGTGAGTTTTTAGTGCGAAATTGGTCAATTATTGTGTACCCCAGAATGCTAAGTCTTAGAATGAAAACTCGTTATATCCGGTTTTTACACAGTTGCCCAGAATGACAACAGGACAATTCATTTTTTTTTAATTTACATAGAGATCCTGTCCTGTATATAAATTTTTATTGCGCATTATATTGTAACTGCAGTTTGTCATAATTCCTATTCTATACATTCCAAGGAAAGTACTTAATTAGCTGAGATTAATTTATGGATTTATTAATATTTTTTACAAACACTATGGAGATATAATGTTTGTGTATTTAAAATAACTCCTCCTTCTAGAATCTTTCAAGGCAAACATTTCTGTGATAAAATAGCATCGATTGAATTCAGTCATATTCGGATAAGTAATTTTCCGATAAGCTTCTGTGGCAGCCAATAGTTTAATTTTGTGAAGATTTATCATTCAATAGAGGAAATAGTTTAAATAGTTCTAATATACACGAGTTCTAATAACATGTTCATATTTATTGGTTAATGAAGGTCCTAGTTTATCCCATACTGAAGTACTCATTGCCACAGAATAGCTAGCATCTGTTTGAATGCCTTCATTTGCCAATCGTCTTATTGTTGGTACCTAAAATCTTAACGCCTAGGCAACACGCTAAAATGTGTAGTATTTAAAATACTATTAATATTTTTTAGAATAATTTAAAACTTACTTCACGAACGGCAAAAACTGATAATAAAGTTGTCCCAGCCTTTTTTTCTAATTGAAAATAATTTAATAATTTTAAAATTAGTCTTTGTTTTTTCTCGGTATATCTCGGCATATTTAAAATATTTTTATGACAATAAATACAAAATTAAATTTTTACTGTAAAATGTCTGAAAATACTAACCTGGAATGACAATTATCATTTTATCAGTTGACATTGTGAAAGTACTGTCACGATCGAGACCATCTGCGTCAAATTATATTTATGCGCATCATTGATTGGATATCTATTTAGCGTATTCGAAACTCCAACTATACATCTGTAAGTAGAATTCGCTTTAATATGCAAATACCCGTGAACGATACATAATTTTCTATGTCTAAGTTCTATGTATAATAATCACAGACTCACGTTTTTTTCTGCCACTTCTAGCTTAATGCGTTAGAAAGAATTAGATCAACTATGACGCACTGCAAGAAGGGTTTGGGACGGACTTTATATGCTTTATTTCCTGTCATTCTTGTATCATGTACTTCTTGCAACTTATTCTTAGTTGGTTGCGTTTATAGTCTTCATACCAATAATTAGTACTTCGATAACTTATTTTTGATATAATATTTTCTGTTATTATGACGCCATATAAACGCACATAGGTTGGACTGTTAAAAATATTTTAAATGTTTTTTGTTTTAAAGTATCAAATTTATAGGTGAGGCCCCTATAAACTGCAACTTCTGCGATGAGAAATTCAGGCGACATTCCAATCTAGTCCAGCATCGCAACCGGCACCACTTTATGTTGAAGAAGAAGGTTAAGGATTACATCTGCCAGTGTGGAGAAGTATTCCATTCCAAGAAAAAACTAGCTTGGCATAAGGAAATCCACGATTCCAAGCCGAAGGCGTGCACCCATTGCAGCGAAAAGTTCCTTCATATGTCAAGTTTGACGCGGCACATGCGCAGAGCACACAACGACAAGTTCCTACCTGAAGAAACGCGACAGAACGAGAACGTCGAATGTCCTATTTGCAAAGGAGTATATTTGAGGTCTTCCTTAGACGTTCACATAAAGAATCACAGCGGTACTAGGCCTTACACGTGCTTGATGTGCAATAAAGACTTTACCACTAAATGGAATCTCAAGTTACACAAGTGGACTCACGCCAACAGAAATTCGAAGCCCTTCAAGTGCGATCAGTGCAAGGGGGCTTTTATCCGAGAATCCGACTATACAGCTCACATGAATTCTCATAAAAGTGTCCGTCCGTACACTTGTAATTATTGCGGAGCGCAGTTCATTAGAAAATACAATTGTCTACGCCATGTCAAAGAACACGAGAATGATAAAACGTTTAATTGTACTGTGTGCGGTAAGTCTTTCCATCGATCGTACTATCTCAAAGACCACATGCGGGTACATAGCGGCGTTAGACCTTACACTTGTCATATATGCGGTAAGACTTCCACGACGAAGTCAAATCACAATAAACACGTACAAATACATCATGCACGAGAGCCGGTTAGTACTGAAAATTAGGTTATCTAACTTATAAAAGAGAAATGGCGAATTCAATTTTCAGGTAAGTGTTCGATGCTGATCTTTCCTGTTATATTTTAAAAAATTGATAGTTGATAGGTGTCAATGGCTAGATTTTAAACAACAATATATGGACTTTTTGCTTAAAAATTGTTTACACCTAAGCCACAAATTATATTTATACATTTTGACTAATAATGTGCTATTCTATGACTATTTTCGTACGTTAAGTTGTAACGAATATATTTTGCCTACCACATGGGTTATTAATATAAGGGGTAGAAAATTGGGGAAAGAAACTATGGGGGTGGAGATAGAGCAAGCAAAATAATAACATATGCGAACGGCACTCAGGGTTTGTTAGGAGAGCTGGGTTCGTGGATAAGTAAATGTCGAAGGGGTTGAATTGGGGCAACTATAAAAAAATCAAACAAAGGGTCATGAATCTCTTGGGACAAACAAAACAAAAGGAAACAGGAAACACCTCTAGTAATTTAAAAAGGACGCCACTTCGAGGTGCCTAATTATAACCATTACAACAGCTAGTTGTAACTAGGGAAATAATTATTAGAAATGCAAAATATATCTTTTTCAAACGAGACTCAAAAAAGGTTAGTTAAAAAATAAACAAAATGTTAAGAATAAAATTTAACATTTATTGTGTCTTACCACAAACAGTTATAAAAAATAATGACACAAGTTTCTATATAGATCAATAGTTATAGAGAACAAGAATAACAAAAAAACTTACAAGTGTCCTAGCCGTTTACAAACTCTGTTGCTACAAAACTTACAAAATTGCATGGAGGTTAACCTTCTTTAAAAATAAAACAAACTAAAGTAAAAAAAATAATAAAACGAGCTGTCAAACTCTAAAATTTTTAATATAAATATTGCATTTTTTAAATTTTAATGAAAGCAAGTATATTATCAAAAAATATCTACTTTACTTTGGAATTTATACACAAAAAGTTACCTGGACTGCACTGGGTTTTACACTAAAATTCTGGAACTATAACTGGGGTTGAACTCTCTGGACACGAACAGAAGGACTGCATCTCATCCTGCGAATTGGAGTGACTATTAAGTCGACATTGAACACAAAACTTGGAACTTTTCTCCTTAAAAAAAACTGGGACAGGTAGAATTGGACTGCAATTGCCATTAAATTGCTACTATTAACCGCTACTATAATTATTTTCCATAACGTAGGACGAAGAACAAAAGGACATTACAAATTTGATGAAAAATTTGGACTCAATCTAAAATGTCTGTTTCTGACAGCGATTCTAACGAGAATGAGCAATTATATTGCCGGCAAAAAAACGTGGCATAAACAAGACACTTAACAAGAATTGAAACGCGATTATTAATTTGAAAACGCAGTATCGTGCGGTTTGAACAAAGAAATATCGAGCATCATACGCAGCTGCGAAATAAATAAACAACTCTAAGATAGTTTATATTACTTGCCGATGCTAAGAGTAATTGAAATATATTTTTTGCGTATTTTAACTTTTACGATAGGAACAGAGATACATTAAAAATATTCTTCGATTTACAAACATATATGAGGTGATTTCAATTTATTACATATACGAGGGGATTCCAATATATACCAAAGAATCAATGAATTTGCAAATGCTACAAAGTATACAATTTTTATTAAAGTGGCAGTTTATCGCATCGCTACAAAACATTTGCGTTTGATATCTTCTTGGTAATCACTCGCATTTTGTCTAGGAGATAGACTTTTTATGTGGCCCTGGTCAAGGCGGCTCGAACCTTCCCATAGCAATAGAACGTTCTGCCGAAGATTCGCGACAGGGGTCTTCTCTATATTTTTATTTATGAACTCAAAAGAATTTGTGTCCATTTTATTCCCGTACCGTGCCGAAGTTCCAAAGTTCAGTTCTCGGGACCATGGTTTAAGCAACACTTTCTACTTTGTGCCATGCATCCCCTGAGCACGATAGTGTTACATTTTGGTATTGGCTCAACTTATGAGGAGTTAGTTGTGGTGCGACTGTGGTGATTTTGCTGATTGACCATGCGGTAATGGAGCAATCTGTCCTGCGTTGTGTAATGGCGAGCTGAGACTTACAGACCCAGACTAGCACTGTAGTCACTGGCATGCTTTGATTCAAATGTAAATGAGCCTCATTTTACAAAACTTTTGGAACTCTCAATATGTTGTCTAATAATTATGCATACCTTTTCATATAAACCTTTGTTTACATGAAAGGTTTTTTGCCGCTCTTCCTTTTGTTTAGGTATTAAATTTTCTTAAATTGCATTCAAAACTGTGTTCATTGAAAGAATTGTTCTTTCAAATGATTTTCAATAATAAATTTGGGACATTAAGGTTTCTTTTGCAAATTTTCAATTATTATACCAACCATTAACTCGATATACCATCGATATGCCAAAAACTAGGATACCTGCTGTTAATTATACTAGAACAAATCTAAAAGATGTGGGAAAAAAGCATTATTGACTTTTTTAATTCTTCAACATGATAATAACTTACGTTATTTCTTAAATTTGATCTAGCGAACTGCAAGTGCAAGTAAACAATTTATATTTTAACCTTATTTTATATCTAATTTTAAAGCCTTTTAATACCAAAATCTGACCAGTACAAAAAATAATCATAAAACGTACATGATTAAAAATATTTTATCGTTTGACTGTTGAATCGATCAGCATTGAACATTTATTGAACATTTTTATTACTGTATGACCGGAAGGAGGCCCAATGTGTGTGTTTTGTAATCGTTTCTTGTATATACAAATTAAAAGCTATATAAATATTGATTAGGTTATAATTTTACATTTTTTCTTAATTTAGTTACTGAAATCAGGGTCAAAATAATAACAAAAACAAAATAAGAATGGGCAGAAAATAACTTACCATACAGAAAAGACGACACAAAGAAAACCCCAGACACAAATAGAGTGTCGGGTTCGACTAAGAAAATAGAGTAAGTATAATATATACGTGATAGACACATAAGCACTTTAAAGATAGCACTTTAATCAAATAAATGAAACGAAAAAAATTAAGAGGGAAATAATAGCGGTAAAGTGTTATCTGCACGTCTTGCAAAAACTTCTGACATCCCGAAACTTCTTCAGGGCAGAGCAAATTGGAGTATTGTCACAATATAATACTTCAACAATACTTAACTCTATTTAAAATAGCCTGGACAGACCGCGATAAAGGAATAAAATAGAATTTTTGTTTTTTATATTAATAAGTAAATAAATATATGCTTTTAAGTGAAAGTGTACAGAATACAAAGATTGATGCACATGGGGTCTGATTCTGTTTTTGTAATAAAGGCAAATTATATTAATTGTAAAAATACATAGTAAACATGTGATTCTATGTTGTTTAAACCTTAGCTAATAAGCTGAGATTAAGATTATTATTATTGATTTTATGTTTTTTCATATTCCCGTCGTTCGGAATAAAAATTGGCGATTGTAACCGTTGCAGAATCCATAGTGCTATTTTCTGATGAGATATATATTTACTTGTAGCTTTCAAAGTTTTCAAATTTATCTAAATCGATCAAAATTATTATTATTTAAAATAAGTGGATCATAGTACGACAGAAGGGTAGTGTATACAAACAATGTTGATATATGGATCGGAAACATAGACCATCTCCAAGGTAGATGAAAACCTTCTGTTTATATTTGAACGAAGGGTCTGAAAGGGATATTAGGTGGTATCTGTGTAAATGGTATTTGGACCAAGAGGTAGGTACAACTACGAGATATACGACAAATACAAACAGTTATCTGATGCTAATGGTTTGGTATCTCTCATAAAAATAGGAAGACATGTAGCAAGATCACCCTCCTAGACGAACTTTTATGTCACAGCCTGGGAGAAGTAGACGCAGGGGTAGGCCAAAACTTAGATGGAAGGACTGGCGAAATAGACTTAGGTAGCTCAAGGTCTTTGGCACTATTCAAGATGATGAGATACTTACAAACTTTTTCACACTTTGATCCTCCAGCCACCACAAGTGACATATCTCAATTTTACTTTTTCTACGCTCTACCAACCCTTTGAAACTTCTACATTTCACATTTCAGAGATAAGTCAGCGACATATCAAGCTTCAAAGTATCGAAAAAGCGCCAAACACTTTATTAATCTAGTAATCTTCATTATGCTTGTAAGATGGAAGTCTTTAGTCAGGGGTATATTTTGAAAAAGTAGTTTGCGATGGTTAACGGCGTCATTAGCTGCAGAAAAGTCTATGAAGATAGCTATAGTAACCATTCGATTCTAAAATCCATCCTCGATGTACTGTGTTGAGTTCAAGTTCAAAAACCTGACTGTACCAAGACTTTCCAGACGTGATACCAGCTTGTTCCGGGATTATCTTTTCGTGTACACTCTGGACAATTCTCTTCATATCTACCTATCTACTTGCGACGTATATATTAAACAGCAAGGGTAAATGAGTTTTTGTCTGGCTAATTGGCTCGGCCAAGGCCATCAAACTAATTAAAAAAAAAAGGGTAAATGAAATAACATTCGAATGAAAAAGAGCACAGAAATAACAAAAACGATAAAAATTCGGAAGTTACAACATTTTGGTCATGTAATAAGACATCCAGAGAGGTGTAACCCTCTACACCTCCTAATACAGGGTAAGATCGACGGAAGTAGAGGCCCAGGCCGACGAAGAACATTCTGGCTACGAAATCTCCGAGAATGGTATCAAGAAACCACCGCTAATTTATTTAGAGTCGCCGTGAATAAGTTTATTATTGCCAATATGATCGATAATGTTCGATAATCGGACAGGGCACTGAAAGAAGAAAGAAGAGTAAAAGTACACGGCCTTACCTCATTTCTTCTAAAATACATGTCTTATGATGCACAATGAAACCTCTTCCAACTGGAGTACCGTTTACAGGACCTATTCCAAAAAATTACTTTGAAATAAAAAAAAGATGCTACTACCACTACCGATG